CGAGACAGGGTGCCTTTTGTTACTCTGCGTTGTGCACCTCACTCACTGGCCCGAGGGCTTCTGGGGCTTCTTCTGTGTCTTCCATCCATCTCTCCATAGGCTCACAGATGTGCACACACAACCCTGCCCCATCTTCCCAGTCCCACAATAAAACCATTTACCTGTTTAAACTTTCTCTTCAACTTATTTTGAAGTTTCTGCTTCTAGCCAGATTTTTTTGAAACTGGAAGAATTCTGCCCTCAAAAAGATTAGAGTTTTATGAGAGACCTATGGAAGTTTTGAAAGCACAGGTCGAGCGGCCGCTAAAGCAGCAGCAAGCTGACAGCTGCCCGCCGCTCTAGGCACGTTCCCATCTCCTAATCTTAGTGCGCTGTCTCTTCACTTCCCAGGTGGCAGCTGACATCCTTCAGATGAACATTCTGGGTTGATGCCTAAGGACATCTAAAAATAGTTTCATGCTGAGCATAAGCTAAATATATTCCCAGAATTCCTATGCTGATCAATTATTTATTCCTTACAAATGCTAAGATCAAACGAGAAGAAAACTTATCTATTTCAGCTCGACAAGCAGTCTGAGGAGACTCGAGGAACTAAAACTTTCAAGTCTAAAGTAAGTAATAAAGGGTAAAGATGAGCTCCCTGGTTCTACTCTATGTTGCCTAACAAGACAGCAAACAGTCCTTTGCCATGGATGGTTCAAACAAATATACCATTCAACGGGATTTTAAAGTTTATATGGAAGGCTTTAGTCATTTAATATGAGCATCCGCAGGATTCTTGAATGTAGCTTGTCTTAGTTTGTTCTTCACTGCTGTGACAAAACACTCTGACCACTACCAGCCAATGAGTTCCAGGGATCTGCCCGTTTCTGCCTCTTTATTTAGCCCTGGTATTCTAGGTGTGTGTGTTTCTGTGTTTGGATTTACATGGGTGCTGGAGAGCCAGGTTTGGGTCCTTGTGCTGGCACAGCAAACCCTTTATCAGCTGAGCCTTCTCCCCTGCCCCATGTGCAGCTGTCAGCTTGCTGCTGCTTTAGCGGCTGCTCCTTGTCCTTAACTAAGTCTATACTTTATTTTGATTCTCTAGATTTTATCCTAATATTCTTTCCTCTGTCCCAGGATCCCATCCAAGGAACCAGGTGTCCTCAGTCTTCTCCTGGCTGTGATACACGTATGCACTTTCCTAGTTTGTTGTTGGGTTTTAGTTGTTGTTTTTGTGGGGTTTTTTCTGCTTGGGTTTTTTGAGACAGGGTCTTGTTATATAACTCAGATAGGCCTGGTACTTGCTATGTAGCACAGGCTGGGCTCAAACTCATGGTGATCCTCCTGCCTCAGCCTCCTGCATGCTGAAATTACAGGAATGCACTATTCTGGGCCAGACTTTGTTTTGGATGACATTTAGAGTTTGGAGGGGGGATTGTTTTGTTTTTTGTATTTTTGTCTTTTTGAGACAGGGTCTCCCTGTAGCCCCAGCTGGCTTGGAACTTGCTACATAGACCAGGCTGGCCTCAAACTCACAAAGATCTGCCTGCCTCTGCCTCACTAAGTGCTGGGATTAAAAGTGTGTGCCACCATGCCCGGCAATGTTTACAGTTTTTAGTCATGTGTTTTGTAGGATGGCCCTTTGCTGGAATTTGTCTAATGTTTTTGTCATGATTAAACTGGGATCACAGGTTTGGAGGAGAAGCCCAGAGTTAGGCCCCCTTCCCATCCCATTTATCAAGGATCCACACATCAGCATGATTCACTGTCCTGACACCTGGTAAAAAGTACTAACTGATTGTTGGGTACGGTGGTTTGAATGAGAAGTACCCTCCACAGGCTAATGTGTTTGAACAGTTGGTCCCCAGTTGGTGGTGCTGTTTGGGGCAATCATGGAACGTTTAGGAGGTGGAGTCTTGCTGGAGGAAGTATACCACTGGAGGCAGGCTTTGAGACTTCATAGCCTCAACCCACCTCTCCGTGTCTGCTTCCTGTGTGCAGATGGAAATGTGATCAGCCAGCTTCCTGCCACATGCCATCCCTTCTCCATCCTGGTGAGAGTATATGAGAGCTAAGCCTCTCTGAGCGTCAGTGTCCTCACCTAACGAGAACTTAAATCTAGCTGGGGAGGGTGACATGGGCCTGTAATTCCTGGACTCGGGAGGCCGAGGCAGTGGGTGGCTACAGTCTGAGGGCATCCTAGACCTATAAGACCTTGTCCCCAAAGCAAACACATACAGATCTCAAGTTTACTTCACTGCTGAGTCCATGGTCTCCTGACACATTAAGTTTTTTCCAGATGAATCAAAGGATCGAAGTTCTTTTATAACTAGATTCTATGACTATTTCCCCTTTTCCTGATAGAAGATCTTGCTCTGTGGCCCTGTTGGTCTAACCTGGCTTCTCATTAGCTAACTCTGAAGCTTGCCTTATCTCTCTAATTCCCTGTGTGACTCAGAAAATCCCATTTATTATTAAATAAGAATTGCATTTCCTGTGACATGCAACCAAACACACTACAATTTATTCAAGGAGCAACTTGGGTATTGCTAAGGAAACACTTCACAAGCTTGTGTTATTCTGTAGGCTATGCAATGAACACTGGAAGACAGCTAGGTGACAATAGGCATCTGGGCTTTCAGTCCAGGAGCTGGTTTTTCATTTTGATGCTGATGGCCAAGTCTAGTGCAGTCACTCCACTTAGCCAAGGGGACACAGTCTGAGAAATGTGTGATGTGCCGCTGTGCCGCCTCTAGTGTCCCTTCACAAACCTGACTGTGGAGAAGCTGTGCAATGGAATGGGCCCAACACGGTGAGTATTAAATATTATTAAGGGTCACAAGTGAGGGGGCATTTCCCTAGTAAAATAATTACTGCAGGTTCTCTGTTGGCTAATGCTTTAGGCCCTCTCTCACCCCTCTGTGTGCTAGAATGGTTCAAGAATGGTCTTTCTTGCTGGTGTGGTGGAGCACACCTTTAATCCTAGCACTTGGGAGGCAGAGGCAGGCAGATCTCTACGCGTTCAAGGCCAGCCTGGTCTATGTAGTGAGTTCAGACCAGCTGGGACTACAGGGAGACCCTGTCTCAGAAATACAAAAAAAATAAAGAATGGTCTTTCTCTTCCTTCCTCTCTCCCTTCCTTCCCTTTAAATAATTGTTTGTATTTATTTATTCGTGAGTATGTATGTATGTATGTATGTATGTATGTGGGGCATATATGTGACATGGAGCGCCTGTAGAGGTCAGAGGACAACAAAAAGAGGGAACTGGTTCTCTCCATCCATCATGTGAGTCACGGGGATTGAACTTAGTTTGCCAAGGTTAGCAGCAAGTGCCCTTTCCTGCTCGGCCATTGCACTGGCTCCCTTCCTTCATTTTTTTAGCCAGTGCCTAGGAATGTTGCCCAGGTTGGCTCCTCCTGCCTTACACTTCCAAATGCTGAGGATTTCAGATGTGTGCCGCTATAATGCACAGATATATAGAGATATATAGATAGAGGAGAGAGAGAGAGAGAGAGAGAGAGAGAGAGAGAGAGAGAATGGTCATATGGCTCACTACTGAAAACTCAAATCTAACTGGACATGGTGACACAGGCCTGTAATCACTGTACTTGGGAGGCTGAGACAGCAGGATGACCACAAGTCTGAGGGCATCCTGGGCTGTAATGTAAGATCCTGTCCCCAGAGCAAACAAACAAACAGACCTCAAGTTGGTCTGTCTGTCTATCCATCCATCTATCCATCCCTAGATCTTGTTTATGTTTAAAATGCTATCTCCTTCACAGCAAGGCTTCTTTAAGGACTTGTTCGTACACATGATCCTTACGTCCTATTTCCCATTGTTATGTCAACTCATTACAATTTCTTTGTAAAGTAACAAGAGCCAAAGTTGTGCCAGAGTCCTCACCTATGACATGGGGAAGACAGTCCCTACCTCACAGGACTGAGCTGTGGGTTCTATAAAGCACTTGGGGCAGCACTGGCAGATACTAAGCACTCTCAAGTGTTAACTTTTATGAGCAATAGTTCTTTTTTTATTATTTTTATTATGTGTATGAGTGTATTGCCTGCATGTATGTAAGGACATCCATGTTGTACAATGTCCATGGGGGTCAGAAGAAGGCATCGATCTCCTGGAACTGGAGTTACAGATGATTATTAGTCACCATGTGGGTGCTGGGAATCGAATCTGGGTCCTCTGCAAGAACAGCTTAGTGCTCATAACTGCTGGGCCATCTCTCCAGCCCCCATCATTAGTTCTTAATTACGCAGGTACAGGAATGTGAGGACCTAAGAAAACTAGCACAGTGCCAACCTCAGTTGCCATGTAAACAACACATACAGCTGTTGGAAGGCGAATTTCAGAAGACCTCCAGTAACCGACACAATAGGTTATAAGCTGCATCCAGGCATGCTTCCTGGACTCCGTTCCCAGAACACAGACGTGCTGTATGGTAACTAGTCTGTCACAGATAGCACTGCGTTAGAACACACTGTACATACAAGGTGCAGATTTATTATATATGCATGACGTGTGAATATTCTGTATCCAGTGAATGGGCACTTGACAGCCATAGTAATACAATTAATTATTCGACTTCCGCTACTTCCCTCGCCCAGGAACTGATAAACGTGGTCTGGGAAAGTAGCTGACTGGATAGAATGCTTGCCCAGCATGCACTTTGGTGCCCAGACCCACCCCCGGGCACGGTGCTGTGTGCGCCAGTAATTCTAGCCCTTGGGAGGAAAAAAGAAAAACAGCAAAACCAGGAGCAGCCCCTCCCCCCTCCCGTGCCCGGATCTCAGGCCGCGCCGGCGCCGGATGTATTTAATAGTTTTTAAAAGTCATTAAGTGCATGTTGCTAACTTTGCATGATAAAAACGAATGGCGATGGAGGAAAAGAAAACGAAAGCTTCAAGGGACTCAAGGTCTTCAAGGAAACGAAGAGCCAGCGTAGGGCGGCGCGGGGATGACGTCATCGAGAGGGCCGCAGCATCTCTACTGCGCATGCTCGCGGTCGGGGCGGGGCGTGGGGGCCGCGCATGCGCACTACGCCAGGTTGGCTGGCTGCGCCTCTCGGGCTTGTTCATGGCGTGGCGGGCGGGAAAGTCGAGCTTGAGGATCGCCGGGCGCGATGTGCAGTGACTTCCGCAGGGCCGAATCGGGGACCGAGGTGAGAGCCGGGGCTGGAGTCCGAGGAGCGGGTCGGGAGGCCGCCGGGACATCTAGAGGTTTCCTGGAGGACGAGGCATCCCGGAGTTCAGGCAGGGCCTGTGTGGCCGGTGCTGGCCTTGAACTCGCTGTTATTGAAGATAACCCTGAACCAACTATTTTTATTTATTTATTTATTATTTATTTGCATGCATGCATGGCTGGGGGTTATTTACACACATGCATGCATGCCTGGGGGTATTTGCATTCATGAACGTATGCATGCATGCCGGGGGGGGGTGGTATTTGTACATCAGTAAAGTTGTCCTCAGTGGTCAGAAGACAGGGGACCAGATTCCTTAGCCAGTCCCCTAACCTTGAATTTCTGACCCTCCTGCCTCCACCTCCCACACGCAGGGATTACAGGTGTGCACCACCATGCCTGGTTACGCACAACCGGGCATGGAGCCCAGGGTTTCATGCATGCCAGGCAAGCACTCTGCCAGCTGAACTACACGTCTCCAGCCCCTGAATTTTAAGGACTATGTGAAGTGGCTTGTCAAAGATGAGGTGACGGAGCAGAGACCTGCTCTGCATGGTGTGGGTTTGGCGGGGGCAGTTTTGTTTAGAATAGCCCGTGGTTCTGTAACTTTGGAACTAAGGGGGTGTTGGGAAGTGAACTCAGGCAGAATATGGAGGTGCCGGTGAGGGTGAGGGAGAGTCAGCAGACGTTCTGTGCAGGGCTGTGCAGCCCATGTGCCCTGTCACTTGCTCATCGCTGCTGTTGTGACCTGAAGGTTAGACAAATGAGCTTGGCTGTGTTCTGGCAAAGCGTTTGAAACCTGGATTTGGCCCATTACCTGCAGCTCGGCAGCCCTCCCTGGGGTAGAGCCTCTGCTATCCTAGCTGGTCCTGAATGTGTGCCATCCCAGCACACTGGGAAGCTGAGGCAGGTGGGTTGAGTGTTTAAGCCAGCCTGAACTATATGGAGAGATCTTGTCTGAAAAAAAAACCAAAACAGCCAGGCATACCTTAATTCCAGAACTCAGGAGGCAGAGACAGGTGGATCTCTGTGAGAACAAAACCAGCCTCGTCTGCAGAGTGAGTTACAAGGCCAGCTGAGGCTTCAGGGACACCCTGTCAAAACAAAAACAAGAGTAGTAGAGTCACTGCTTAGTACCAGGACTGCCACAGTTATGACCTAATTTATTTCTGAGGCAGGGTCTCACTAGGTAGCCCAGGCTGGCTTTGAACTTAAGGCAAATCCACCAGCTTCAGCCTCCCAAGTGTTGGGATTACAGGGGTGTGCTGCCATTACCTTATTTAAATGATAATTTGAGGCAGGGTGTGGTGACACAGGCCTTTACTCTCAGCACTCAAGGAGTAGAGGCAGGTGGATCTCTGTGGGTTTGAGGCCAGCCTGGTCTGCATACCAGGTTCCAGGCCAGCCAGGGGTACATAGTGAGCCCTGTAGTTTGAAATCCAGCTTAAATTCAGATGACTTGTCAGAACAAGCCAAGCACCCAGAACCAACAGAATCCAGTTCATACAAGTGTCTGGAGGTCTGCGACAAGGCTTCCCAGCTCCAGTAGAGCTGAGTGGAACAGAAAACAGGAAACCAGGTGGGGGGCGGGGGTGGAGGTGTGCTCTGTTTCCCCTCTTTACTAACAAAAGCATCTGAGCCTTTTTTCCTGTTATCAGTCTTTGGATGCTGGTTTCTTTTTTGCCCATGTCTGCTGTGTGGGCTCTCCTTTGAGGAAGCCAGGAGCTGCCCCCCACCCCACCCCCAGTGAGCTACTATAAAACTTAATTCAGTGGAAGTAACATTGTAATCAGCTTGCTTTCCTCCCAGGTGTAAGTAAAGGACTTTTCATACAGGGGTTCAGAGAAAACAGAGTTGGAAAGATGTTGCTTTGTTTTAACAGATCTTAAGGATGCAAGGATGCTATTTGTTGTAAGCAGAGAGTGAAAAAATATATATTAACCTTCTATTTCAAGACAAGCATTTGAATACAGTTCGATACAGAGTCACTATGTAGCCCAGGGTAACACTGAAGTTGTGGTTTTCTGCCTCCCAAGTGCTAGGATTACAGGCATACCCCACCTTGACTGAATAAATTTAATTTTAATTTTTTTTTCCTTTTGAGGCAGTCTCATGTATCTCTGGCTGTGTAGCTGAAGATGGCCTTGAACTCCTGATCCTCCTGCCTCAGCCTCCCAGTGCTGGAGTTACAGACATGAGCTGCCACATCCATCTCCATTTTACTTTCATTAGAAAAGAGTCAGTGATATGGGACAGTATCATTTGCATAGAGCTATTAAATGGCGTGTTCCGCATCATACATCTGTTAAAATCCAAGCTCCTCAGGAGGCTGAGGCAGGAAGAGCAGGTATTTGAAGGTAGCCTGGGCAACATAACACAACAGACTAAAGAAAGAAAATGATGATATGCCTTGAGTTTTAAAACACTTGCAAGTGTTCAGTTTTGGTTGCTGTGCAGCTATTACTGTTTTTAAAAGCTGTTTATGTATTTATTTGTTTATTGTTTATGGTGCTAGGGATCAAACCCATAGCCCCACACTTGCTGGGCAGGCACTTCACCTCTGCGCCCCCTGCAGCCCCCTGGAATGAAGAGCAAGAAACTTTCCTGCCCATTATCCTCTCCCAGGGAAGCCCTGTGACCACTAACGATGTGTTCTGGAGGTCAAATGAAGAATGCTGGCCTTGGAAATTCAGAGACCCGGGCTCCAGTGTTGGCTTGAGGAAAATGAGCTGCCCTGGTTGGAGTCCCTGAAATCTGCATCTCCTTTGTAGTGAGAGGCTGGCAGTCCCCCAGTCCCGCCCCCTCCCAGTCCTGCTTGTGGGGGGCGGCACCTGCACCGGGAACATAGCACTACACGGTGAACACGCTTGGTGATTGGGACTAGTTTTCATAGGGAAAAAAAAGAGAGAGGCCTCTTTACCAGAGGCCGATATTGAGACATAGCATTTACTTAGAAATACTTGGTTTTAGGTGAGCACAGATTTTTAGAGTGGTGCTCAGCCCCGGCCATCTTTGCTGCCTCGTCACAGTTTCATCATCATGAACGATGGTCTCTGCCTCTTCCCTCAGCTGCTTAAGGTCCTATGGTTCAGCCCAGCGCTCCTGTCTCCATTTGACTGCTTGTCACTAGGGAACAGCATAGCCAGGCACACACCTTTCATCCCAGCACTTGGGAAGCAGAGGCAGGTGGATCTCTGAGTTCCAGGCCAGCCTGGTCTACATAGTGAGTTCCAGGCCAGCTGCAGCATGGTGCATGCACCAGCAATGTTAGCACTTGGGAGGTAGTGACAGGATCAGGAGTTCAAGGCCAGCCTGGGCAAAAAAGGAGGGTAGGGGCTGGTAAGATGCTGGGTAAAGGCTTACCACCAGGGCTTACAACCTCAGTTTGACCCCACGTGGTTAGAAGGAAAGAACTGATTTCTGCAGGCTATCCTCCAACTTCAGTGTGTATGCCACAGACAAATGACAAAAAAATTTTTTAAGTTCCTGTAATGACTCCAGGTGTGGCTCAGTGACACAGCACTTGCCAGCATGGCCAAGGTCCTGGGCTCAGTACCAGCGGTAGGAGAGGAAAACGGGTTCTGTAACTTGATTTTATGTGTTTGAATGCTGCTGTGGAGGCCGGAGGTTGGTGTTGGGGGTCTTCTATCTCTTTCGACTTTTTAATTTTTTTTATCTTTTAATTTTATGTGTACGCGTGTATTGCCTGTATGTAGGTAAGCGCACCTGTGTCGTGCAATGCCCACGGAGGTCAGAAGAGGCTGTTGGATCCCCTGGGACTGGAGTTACAGGCAGTTGTTACAGAAGAGGCTGTCAGATCCCCTGGGACTGGAGTTACAGGCAGTTGTTAGCTGCCATGTGGGTGCTGGGATTCAAACCCAGGTCTTCTGCAAGAACAGTCAGTGTTCTTAACCACTGAGCCATCTCTCCAGCCCCCTCGACTTTTTTTAAGGCAGGTTTTCTCTGTAGCTCAGCTGGTCTGGAACTCACTATGTAGACCAGGCCTGTATCTGGCTCCTGAGTGCTGGGATAAAAGCCTGCGTCCCCATGCCCAGCATGCCAACCTTACTATTTTGAGTCAGGGTCTCTCACTGAACTTGAAGCTCATCCATTCAGTTAGGCTGGATGGCCAGCAAGCTACAGGGTCCACCTGTCTCCATCCCTCCAGTGCTTTGGTACAGGCTGCTGCCCCTGCCAGATTTTCACATAGGTGCTAAGGATTGGAACTAAACCCTGAAGCTTGCACAGCGCACTCTTTACACACTTAGCCATCTTCCCAGCTCCCTTCCCAATGAAATGTTAATTATGTACCTAATGGATTACTAATTTATTAAGTTTAAGTTTCAGTCCTTATAAATTGCTTTTGAAATTAATGTTTAGACAGGTATATATAATTTTTGCTTGACTTTCATGCGTTTATTTTTCCTTTTCCTCTTATAGAATAATTACTTTGCTTTTTAAAAAAGCGATTATAAAGCAGCAGCCCTTCTAGGAATAACCCTGGAAACTCTGAAATGTAACCATACAGTATTGGAATAACAGCTGTCTTTCTGTATAATTTAGACAAATGCTTTACTCAGGAGCCAAGCCTGGTTCTGTACCCTGAGGGGCAATGAAATTTTGGAAGTGGCTGGAGAGTCTGATTTCACATGTGAAAAGAATTAGCCTTCTGATTTTATTGTAATATATTTATTTATTTTTATATATTTACATTATATATCATTTTTTTTAAGATGGGGTTTTGCTGTATTTCCAAGGCTAGCCTGGAAACTTGAGGTCCCCTTGCTTAAACCTCCATGATTGTAGACGGGGTCCACCATAGCTAGCTCTAGTCATGAATTTAGGGAATACCCATGAGAAAGCCAAACTCCACATTGATCATCACATACCCAGCAGTTCGGCTACTTCATACCCTCGCCCTCCTGTCCACTCCGACTCTGTGCTCTACACGTCTTGTGTGTATAGTGTGAGTGCAGATGCACATACGTGTACGTGCATGTATAGGCCAGAGTCAGCCTCAGGTCTTGTTCTTCAGGAGCTGTCCACCTCCTTTTTGAGACAGGGTCTCTCACTGGGACCTGGCACTTCGCAGTCAGGCTGGGCAGGCTGGCCTCCACAGCAGTGTACCATGCTCTGTGCTCCAGCCCGGCTTTTTACATGGATGTTGGGGATCAAACAGGTCTTCATGCTTGTGAGACTGAGTGCACTTTACTGACTGAGCCCAGACCCCTCCAGCTGCATTCGTAACTACCCTATGTTACCAGTTGCACATTTTGCCTAAAGTGAATTTCCTTTACATATTAGTAAAATGGAAGGATTGTTTTCAGTTTGTAAGTGAAAACTGGGCTTCTTCACAGTGGAGTGCTGAGGCTATTTGGGTGTTTGGGGTTTGTATCTGGTGCTAGTGATCTGATCCAGGCCCTGTGCCAGCTAAGCACCTGCCGTAACTGAGCTTCACCACGGCCCAGATACTTGGTTCTTCAGTAGTATGTTTACAAAAACTGGTTTGAAATCTTGTTCCTGGGGCCCATCTACAAACAGATTTAACACAGAAAGCAGGGGCAGGAGATGAATCTGTGACCACTGTAACTTGCTCCTACATAAACTGGGGCCGATTAAAGCAGATGTCAGCACAGGACACACCAAAAGTAAAGGTTTCCTCTTAGAAGTTTGGCCTTGTACCCTACAGTTGCTGTCTGTATAGTGTTTGATATACAAGTAACACTGAAATATTTTCAAAAATAAGTGGAGAGGGACTTCAGAGAAGGCTCAGCAGTTAAGGCGTGTACAGCTGGGACGAGGACCCGGGATTGTTCCCAGCATGCACATTGAGCGGTTCACAACTACCTTTAATTACACATTCAGGGGATCTGATGCCCTCTTCTGGCCTCTGGGCACATATACACACGTGGCACATAGACACACATACTTTTATACTTTCCTCTAAATCTTTAAAATTATGAGGTCAGATTTTGGAAAATTTATGTAAATATACATTTCTAGGATTTTAAGTAATGCGCTTTCCTTCTCTCCCTTTAAGCTCCTTGCACGACTTGAAGGTAGAAGCTCCTTGAAAGAAGTAGAACCACATCTGTTTGCGGATGAAGATTTGCCAGTGCATGGTAAAAATATGTTAAATAAAAGCAAGTATCATAGATCAAGTTTGTCAGACAAGTTTTTCCCCATGTATTCACACATAGACACACACACACACACACACACACACCCTACTCCCTAGCAGAGATAGCAGAGGCCAGAAGTGAGACACATTGGGCAGAGAGTGACGGCTGGGTCAGCTAAGGTCGTCCTTAGCAGGAACACTGGCCCCTCTTCTCCGAGCACACAATATTTATGAGAGCTCTGTGGTGCTTACTCTTTATTCTTTCTCCTAGAAGTTTGCAGAATTACTAAGAAGTCCTTAGGAGTGCTGGAGAAATGGCTCAGCAGTTAAGAGCACTGGCTGCTCTTGCAGAGGACCTGGGTTCAGTTTGCAACACCCACATGGCAGCTAATAGTCTGTAAATCCAGTTCCAGGGAATTCAACACCCTGTACTCTCTGGCCTCCTTGGGTATTGCATGACACAGGTACACTTCCATAACATGCAGGCAAAACACTCCTACATAAAATAAAAATAAATTTTTGGGGGAAAAGAGCACCTTAGGTTTCCACTTGTTTTGTTATAACTTCTCCAGCAAGAAAAATAGGCTCCTACTTACTCTATACCGGGGAAACTTACAGAGAGGTTGGTACTTAGGTTTTTAGTTTCTCTTAATGTACCAGTTTTGTAAAATTTAAGTGTTATAACTCAGTTATTTTTGATATAGTCACAGTTGTATAATCATCACCAAAACTGAGACCAGAACATTATCACACCCACTAAGAAATCTATCCATATCAGTGGTCAACCCTGTTCTCAGCCCTGGGCAGCTGAGATCTTTCTGTGAGTCTCATGAAACTGTGTCACGAGTGGACTTATGCCTGGCTTCTTTCAGTGTTGTAGTGTGTCAGTAGCCTATTTTATCTCAGAATAATTCTTCGCTGTGTGAATGCACCTCATTCTATCTGTTCATCACTTGAAGGGCATCTAGATTATTGCCATATTTTGGAGTGTTATGAATCCTGCCGCCATGGTTATTCCTGTAAAGTTTTTCCATGCATAGACGCTTTTGGTTCCCGTTGCTAATACCTAGGAGGGAGATTACTAGGTTATAAGGCAACTATGCTGTTTAATTCTTTGAGAAACAGCCAGAGTGATTTCTGGAGTAGTGTCACATTTGACTTACAGCCAGCAGGGAAGTGTCCGTTCCAGTTCCCCACATCCTGGGAATAACTGCCAGTGTGTCTGTGCTCACGGCCACCCCAGTCAGTTTGCAGTGGTGTCTTGTCGTTGACTCTCTCTTTTCCTAGTGGCTGATACTTCTAAGAAGAGACCATCAGTGAGCCCGTGCAGAGAGGCTCACCAGTGTCAGAACTTTGCTAATTTAAAAATTCAGGTTGCCTTTTTAGTTTTGAGTTGTAAGAGTCTTATGTATTTTATTTGGGGGTTGGCTTTTGGAGGGGTGAGATAGGGTCTCACTGTGTAGCCCTGGATGGCCTACAACTCACTATGTAGATCAGGGTGGTGTTATACACAGAGATACACTTCATCTGTCCTCTTTACTTTAGATAGAAGATCCTTGTCAAACATGTAAGGTTGTGAATGTCCATTCTGCTGCAGTGGCCCGTGTTGATGGCATCCATTGAAGCATAAAAGTTACTGATTTTAGTGAAGTCTGATTGGCCTATTTTCCCTCTGATTGCTCCTGTTTTGATGTGGTGTCTGAGAAACCTTATTACCTAGTCCAAGATCAGGAAGATTTGTAGCCAGGCATACTGCTGTGTGCTGGTGATCCCAGCATTCAGGAGACAGAAACAGGAGGGTCATGAGCCTTGGGCCAGCCTGTTCTACATAGCAAGATTCTGCCTCAAAAGGAAACAAATTTAGAAATTTAACAGCTTGCCAGTGGTGGGTTTTTTTTTTTCTTCTGATTAGAAGTACATTTTCTTTTTAATTTACTGAGGCTTGTGTCATGGCAGAGCAGTTTATTAATCTAAAGACTGCTCCACGCACACTGCAGAAAGCCGTGTGTTCTGTCTGTTCAAGTACTCCGTTGGTCTCCGAGTTCCAGCCAGGTTTTCGTGCTGAAGTCCGCTCCCTGTGGAGCTCCTCTGTCTGCTGTCCTACGGGTGTAAAGTATTGCCGTCTCTGGCTCTTGGCGAGGTGTCTAGTTCTCCCTCAGTTCTACCAGCTTGTGCTTTGTGTGTTCTTTACACCTCACACGCGTTAAGAGGACATGTTTAAAATACTACGTTTTGGCAGGAGAGTGTCCTTAGAAAATTAATACAAGACCCAGCGTCTGGAAGGAGGCATGAGGTAGAAACAACCCAAATCATCAGTCATTAAGTGGGTAACAAAAAGTGGTGACTATGTCTGGGTCCCAGCGCCTGAGAGGGAAAGGTGGGGGATTACCACAGGTTTGAGGCTAGCTACAGCGAGACTTTTCTTCAAAAACAAAAACAATTTAAGTGGTGTATACATACACCTGTTTATTGGTATAACATGGATAAAACTTGAAAACTAGTGCTGGAGAGATCACTTGGTGGTTAAGAGAGGTTTTTTCCCAGGACCCATATCATGCAACTCACAACTGCCTGTAACTCAAACCCCAGAGATATCTCATACCTCTGGGACCTGCCCTCATGTGCATAGACCCTCACACAAAAAAATAATTGAAAATAAAAACTTGAACATTATGCAGGTGAAATAAGCTGAACAGAGAAAGAGACCATGGGATTCTGCCTGCCGGGGTGAGGGAGTGCTATAGTGAGCACAGCGGATACAGCGCCCTGGGTAGCGAGCACAGCGGATACAGTGTCCTGGGTAGCGAGCACAGCGGATACAGTGTCCTGGGTACTGTAAGTGCTTTAGTGACTGTAAGTGACAGGTTTCTCTTTCACGACAATGTGGAAATAAACTTAACACTACTGAACTCTGTGCTTAGCCAGTTACTGTGCAGTTTTATCGCAGGCTGGCCTTGAATTTGTGGCAGTCCTCCTGCCTCAGCACCCTGGATTCTGGGGCTGTAAGTAGCCAACACCTCCAGCTTTTGCCATGTATTCTTAGCCTACACACAGCCCCTTTATCTCTGGTGATATATTTTATCAAGTCTGATACCATTCTGGCAATGTCAGGCTTCTTCTGTGGATCTGGAATGGCAGTGCATGCCTCTAATCCTAGTGCTCAGGAGACTGAGGTAGGAGTATCAGGAGTTCAAGGCCAGCTTTGGTGTCACAGTTCAAGACCACCTGGCTGTTTAACACCTATCTCAAGAAAGCACAAATAATAATAATAATAATAATAATAATAATAATAATAAAACTTTTGGCTGCTCTTTATGAAGCCTCTTGCCTGCCCACCCTGTTTGCCCTGTGGTTTGTAAAGTGTCCCTGTCGCACAGCTATTGCTTCTGTTCTGCCTGTCCGTCTCTTCTGTTGACTCGTCAGGTTAGTGTGACTACCAATGACACAGTGACCATCTTGCTCTGTTGCGTTGAACACCTCTTCTGTTTCTCTGCTTCTCCTCTCCTTTACCGTTTTAAATGGATGTGTTCTGGTACATTAAGGATGGCTCTGGATGTGGATGTTCTTACCACTTTTTTTTAAAGCTGTCTTTCCTAGTCATTATTTTGGGATTACAATTAACATTTATTTTTATGTGTACACATGTTTTCCCTGCGTGTATGTAAATGCACCCAGGCATGAAGTGCTCACGGAGACCAGAAGAGGGTGTCGGATCCCCTGGAACTGGAGTGATGAATAGTAGTTAGCCTCCGTGTGAGTGCTGGGAACTGAACCTAGGTCCTCTGCAAGAGCATCCAGTACTGTTAACCACTGAGCCATCTCTCCAACTCCCTACAGTTAACATCTTAATTTCTGTCAGTCTAGTTTTGGATTAATAATACATTAATTTAAAGAGCTTATTAAAGCTTTACTGCTACAGAGGCCTTCTTAGTATTCGCCCAACTGTGCACTGATTGCTGTTCTCTGCATGCATTCTGTGCCCATTAACACAATGTTATCCCTGAATGACTTAGAGTTAATAGTTACAGGTTTTAGGGGGTTGTGGGTTTTAGGGATTAGTGGTTTTTCTGCTTGAGAGTGGGTGCCATGCACCCTAAACTATCCTCAGACTTACTATGCAGCCAGGGTTGACCTTGAACTCCTGGTCCTCTGCACCAGGAGAGGAGTGTTGGAATTACGAGTGTACGCTGTCGTGCCGGCTTTGGGGGCGATTGCTTGTTGCCTTCCTTTTTGAACGTGGGCATTTCAACAAGGACTTACTGTAAGCATCTGTCTAGCACTCTCCTTGGTGCATGGAGCTGCTAATGGAGTTTATTGTTGGATGAAATGGAGGTGGAGCTACTAGTCCACCTGCACAGAAAGGAAACTTCGTTGATTGTCCACCTGGCCCTCCTCCCCAGGGCGCAAATTCAGCAGCTCCAAATGGGCAAATCTGCTTAGTCAGTTATCAGAGATGAGTTACAGACATACAGCAGTCTACTCTCCTGCTTACCTGGGTGCTTGCTTACACTTGCCTGTGCTGGTTTTCTCCTCACTGGGTTTGAGTTGGTGTGTACTGTCCTTCCGTTGATTTGGAAGGACTCTGGCATGACCGCGACAGCACATCTGGAAGCTGAGCTATCCCTGTGCTCTCCGTAGGAAAGCAATGATTTCAGATGCTTTTTTTTTTTAAATATAACTCTTTTTTTTATTCATTGATTTTTGTGTGTGTGTATTTCATACAGAACATCACAAACAATCTTACCTTTATACCCGCATCCCAAATGGCACCCTCCCATAGCCTCCCCCCAAGAAATCAGCAGCGTGCCATGGCAAGGGTTTGTAGCACAGCTCCATCAGAATATTGTAGACTAAAAAGCACCATTGGGTTTAGTCACTGTCCTGGTTTGTTTCTTCACTGCTGTGACAAAACACTCTGACCAGCACCAACTTGGGGAGGAAAGGGTTTATTCAGTTTACATCTCCCAAGTCGCAGTTCATCAGGGAGCCCAAGGTAGGAACTCAGGGCAGGAACCTGGAAGCAGGAGCTGAAGCACAGGCCATGGAGGAATGCTGCTTACTGGCTTGCTCCCCTGGCCCCTGCTCAACCTGCTTTCTTATCCAACACGGGCCCACATGCCCAGGGGTGGCACCACCCACAGTGGACTGGGCCTTCCCACATTACTCAACAATCAAGAAAATGACCCACAGACATGGCCACAGGCCAGTCCAATGGAGGCAATTCCCCAAATGAGGCTCCCTCAACACAGGTGTGTCAAGTTGACACTAAAGCTGTCCAGCACAGTCACTAACCGAAAGTTTACTTAAAACTGCCATACAGTAGCTGTAAAACGGGACAGAATGTGGAATCGCAGCCCAGCTAAGGCTGGATGAGAAGGACTGTTAGTGAGCAGCTAGCTGTTCAGGCGGGTTCCATTGCTGCAGTGGGATTCTCAGGGTCAAAGCGGAAACATGCAACTCTGATGGTTGCTGTTTGGTGCGCCAGTTCAGACTTGCTCAGCACTGTAAATTGTAATCCGCAAATCCACTAGATTTGCCGCATAGCGCAACTAGTACAAGATGGGTGTTTTGGCTTCTCTTCTTTTTGGGATTCATAACTCTTCCTGACAGTCTGTTAGCCCTGACTCACCACAGCATCTGTCTAAGAGTAACTGTCGGGGCCAAACGCTCCAGATTTTCAGTTAGTTCAGTTTTTTCAAGTGCCAAACTGTAGGGGTTCTATTTATTTATCTATAATTTATTTATTTATTTACTTTAAATTGTCATATTCAGCACTTTGGCTAGACAAGGGTGCTAGTTTTTGGTAACAATTCACAAACATACAAGATAGTAACTTCAAATGTAAAGGACTGACCCTTCTTATGCTGTTTGAACATGATTTTTATTTTATGTTAAGGAACAAACAGTTTATAAGATCAGCAAAACTGATCTGAATTCCTCATGAACTGGAGGGACTTGAGTTGGGGCTATAGTGAAAACATTCAAAACTTGTTTGAATGGCTTCTCTGTACCTGCCTGTTTGCTGTTCAGCTGTAACAATGTCATGTGACCCCCGAATTACTCTCAATTAAGGATTGAACCTTCATTGCTTCATGCCAAACAAGAGACTAAGGACTTGATACACCAGCATTTCCTAAGATACAGTCTTCAGAACCTTGTGAGTCCTCCAAGACCTTTCAGGTATTGAAAAGTGAGCCATGCTGGGTGGTTCCAATCCACCCCCTTCAAGGAAACCCTTAGCAAAGGTTCCATTATTTCCCTGGTCTAGAGACATCTCATGGTTACTTTTCTTTTCCTATAGAATTTTCCCCTTTCCACCTACAAATTGTTTCATTTCTTAAATTATCTTCATTTGTTCCTCCAGCTTCATGAAAGTACTACTGAT